TTTACAACAATATCAGCCACTCCTGAACCACTGTTCCCTGTGAACGACTTTTCTCAGTTGCAGGTCACATTGTGAACAAGAAAAGGTCAGCTTTACTTTCAGAAATGTAACAAGTTATTTTGGGCCTCAGCAACTGGCTGAAAGATGATGAAGCTAAGTAGATTTGAAAGGTGATGTTCAACAAAAGCCCATTTCAGTGCAACATGTTATAGTAGTTAGCAACGGGATTTTTGAGCAACTGGATTAAAAATGGAGGAAAGGAAAAAGATTGTTCTTTGGTTTGATTTAAAAGTTTTATTGAAATGTTTTTTTTTTCCACAGATGACTCAAATTGTGCAAAAATGTGGTAGGTCACTGTTATGATTTGACTACATTTTTTGCTTTTTGTTAAATTGATACTGTAAATTGTACATCCTGGTTAAGGGGAAATTGCCCAAAAGGGGAAGGATGGAACATTACAAAGACAAAATTATGGTGTTAGATGTTTCAGCTTGATTTAAACACCATTTTGGTTTGTGTTAATAAACAACATAATATGAAAATTATGTATCTGTGTCCTTTTATTTATCTTTTGGTATGCATTTCAGAAAAAAATGGTTAGGATTCAGGTGTAATTGAAAATGTGATTAATCATGATTAATCCACTAAAAATTCTGATTAATTTTTGATTAAAAATTTTAATCATTTGACACCCTAATATATATTTTATACGAGATCATGTGACAGATCATGTGACACTTAGATTGCACACAGGTGGACTTTATTTAACTAATTATGTGACTTCTGAAGGTAATTGGTTGCACCAGATCTTATTTAGGGGCTTCATAGCAAAGGGAGTGAATACATATGCACACACCACTTTTCCGTTATTTATTTTTTAGAATTTTTTGAAACAAGTTATTTTTTTCATTTCACTTCACCAATTTTGACTATTTTGTGTATGTACATGACATGAAATCCAAATAAAAATAAATTTTAATTACAGGTTGTAATGCAACAAACTAGGAAAAACTCCAAGGCGGATCAATACTTTTGCAAGGCACTGTATGAACCAGAAAAAATTTGAGAGTGGCAGTGGTGTAGTGGTGGGTATACGCAGGTATACGCCATATAACCATTTAGTTTTCGGTGGGCATTGTGTAAACTCACTTCTCAATCCCCACTGATACGTATCAGAGTAGTGTAGTGGAGGTATCCGCCATATCAATTACTAGGGCTGATGGAAAAGATCGGACTGTTTAGCTTAAAATGTTGATAAAATATTATTTATTCACATTTTAGGCGCAGCAATGGACAAATGGCAGTAGGCCTACACGTGAATGTTCCAAAATACAATTTGCGGGAAACCACCTTTCTAAAATGCGCACCGCACATGCGCTGTTTCACCCTTACAAAAAAAGATTGCAGTCAGAGTGCAGTATAACTGCAGTTAGAGTGCAGTATTACTGCAGTATGCTGCAAATACTGCATCCAAAATAACACTGTTTTTTTACTGCAGTAATTTTGCAGTGTAACTGCAGTTAGAGTGCAGTATAACTGCAGTTCAACTGAAGTACACTGCAGTTATTATGCAATTACTGCGTCCAAAATACCACAGTCGACTGCAGTTACTGCACTTTTACTGCAGTTTCAAAACTGCAATCTTTTTTTGTAAGGGTATGAACAGAGATGGAAATATCTGTTAGAAAGAGGGGGGATTTAAAGATGCAATAACTGTCATGGGTTGCTAATATGATTAGGATCATTCCTTGGGCTGCTAGACAATGAAAGAAAGTAAAAAACAACAACAATAGAACAGGAGAACGCATCCATACCTGTCAGAATGATATCATGATTATTTGCATCAATCCAGTGGCCATTTATTTTGCAAACTCCATCTCATGTGCTACAGAAACACTGCTAGGTGCCTCAAAAGACCTCAAAAGTGGTCTCCAGATGTGGTTTAAAGCATTGTTATAGACTTAAAACATACAATGTTGCCAAAAATAAATAAAAATAAAGTGCCTTTGAGAACGAAACCATGAAGAAATTGGGGAAAATCTGAAACCTGTGAATTTCTGACTCAGTTTATCTGTTTCAATAATAGGTACTACTATTAGCCTACTGCACAGTACAGCTTGGATTGGCCTGACTGTGAAAGACCAATATGGGATTGATCATTTTAGGTCATTCAGAGTGTATGTCACTGTTTCTCATAGGATCTTTCACACAGGGCACCTTTCCTTCGCCGGGCGGGCCGTTTGAGTATACCCACTTCTCCATGCACCACTACACCACTGGGTGTGGCATGTCTCGCTTCCTATTCCATCTCTGCTAAAGCATGGGTTCAGAACTGAATGAAGGCTGTGAGGGTACATGTGTGATGATTGTTTGTGTGATATAAGTTTATTCTAAGAGGACAAAAAAAACAGATTGTTCAATATTACTCACATCAGCAGTGTGCTATCCTAACCTATTTCATGAGTTTTTTTGTTATACTTTGTTGTCTAAACCAACCATCCTGTATGTGTGTGTGAGAACATGAGGTAGAGAAGACTTGAACAATAACAATGAGCCCCAGGACAGGAGTTATGGCAGCCTGTAATATCAGATATGTAATAAATAAATATCATTTTTAAACAAACAGCAATAGATTTAACATAAATTCATAAATTATTCAATATAAATATAGTAAAAAAAAGCAGGTGTATTTTACAATCCAACAATATCATGGTTGTAATAAATTGGTTCTATAATTTAGCAGTATATGGACATTGTGTCAGTGAGAACATTCCTATTTACTCCATACAGTGTGTGTGTGTGTGTGTGTGTGTGTGTGTGTGTGTGTGTGTGTGTGTGTGTGTGTGTGTGTGTGTGTGTGTGTGTGTGTGTGTGTGTGTGTGTGTGTGTGTGTGTGTGTTTGTGTGTGCAAGTCACATGCTGGGCAGGAGGTAGCGCTGAAGAGGAAGAGGCAGAGGCAGTCTGTCTGTCTGAGTCTCTCTCTTTCCCCATGGACACATGGATGGACAGACCGCAGAGAGCCAACAGTGCAGGAGGCTCGACCTGAGAGAAAGAGAGGGAAGGAAGGAAAGAGAGAGAGAAATGTAACAAACATACATGCAAACCACAGGAGGTTGGTGGCACCTTAATTGGGGAGGACAGGCTCGTGGTAATGGCTGGAGCGGAATAGGTGGAATGGTATCAAATACATCAAACACATGGTTTGATGTCATTCCATTGGCTACGTTCCAGCCATTATTATGAGCCGTTCTCCCCTCAGTAGCCTCCACTGATTTAAACATAAGTACTTGGCATGGGCATGTTTGGGTTTAAGGGCATCATGAATAGTTCTGAACTGTTTTAGTTGTGTTAGTTGCACTGTGTTTAGTTTGGTAGCTGTAATATTGTGGTAAATGTTGCCTGTCTGTGTTGATGCTATAAAAGCCAAGCAACACACCAAGGTACAATAAAGTTACATTGTATTGTATTATAATGATGAGGTTATACTCACGGGTAGCTCCATTGAGGTAGCATAGTCGTATGGAGGCTTCATCCCTTACGCTGCTGACGGCTGGGAACAGCTCCACCCCTCGGGGGAGGTCCTTAAAGGCCACGCCCAGGAAGCAGTCATCTACCACATATCCCAGAGTTCCTGCGTCCCTGTCCAGAACCAGCAGCACGTGCTCCGGGACAGGGTGAGGGGGTGGACA